GGAGGAATTGCCCTTCTCAATGATATTTGCAGCTAAGCATTTCTAACACAGTAGAGAGTTATTTATCCGAAGTACCGGCACGGAAAGTCTGGAGTCGGTCCGTGACGCCCTGTGTGAGGCTTGCAGCCTCGCAGTTTCCCCTTCTCCCACCAGAACGCCAAGTCAGCTGGTTGACTCGGTCCAGGAGGGATGTCGGCGATTTCAACACCATCACCGGTATCCCTCTCTCTGCCATGTCCGCAGTTGCCACCTCCACTGAACTGTAGGTCACCGTTCCTTCCATGTAAAACACCCTCATTCTGGCCAGGAACGGAGTCTGAATGTTTCTCCCCCTCAGGACGACTTTCACTTCTTTATATTCCCTTCGCTTTTTCAGCAATTCCGGTGCGTAGTCGTAGTCTAGGTGTACCCTCTTTCCTTCAAAGTCAAACCCTTTCACCTGCCAGGCTCGTTTCAGCATCTCCTCCTTCTTTGTGTAGCCTGAAAACTTAACCACGATGGACCTCCGCGGTGCTTCGGTCGGGGGCTTCGGGGCGAGCGACCGGTGTGCCCTCTCGATATGTAACGCTGTGTTGGGGTGGAGCTCCAGACCCTTCATTAGTAAATCCTCCACAAAATAAATCATTGTGGCCATATTGTTTTCTACTCCTTTTACCCCATGTAGCCTTATGTTATCACGCCTTGAACGCCCCTCCAGGTCGGTCAGTTTGGCCTCCATCTGCACGAGTTGTGTTAAAACATACTCTGTTGAGTGGATCTGGGTCTCTGCCACAATAATCCACTCCTCGGTTTCTTCCACTCGTTTGTTCATTTAGTTGATATTGTGGTGTCCGAACAATAATGCTGCGATGATGTGTTGAGAAGAAATCCGCTTGACACTGTTCTTGATCATAAAAGTTTATTACATTATGGAGTTCAGCATCAATTACAAGCTCTGCAGCAGCTTGGAGAGTGACCCAGCCTGATGACCACTCTGTCTCTCTGTACATCAAACATAGCTTATATAGGACATGTTTAGGTATCTGTTAGATACCATATAAGGGTCTGAGTCTGCAAACTTAGGCACCAATCCATATAAGAGCAAAGTTCTATAGGATAAGTGTAAACATCTGTTAGACACCATATAAGGTTCTGAGTCTCCACATAACCACTGACCTCTGCTCTCCCCTTAAAAGGTCACTAATCCTCTATCCAGCTGCTACAGTGCTATGTTAAACTGTTGTGCGTCAAATGCACATATGTTATACACCACAATATCCTCTTTAATGCTGTTTAATTGCTGGCTGGAGTCTCTCCTGAATTCCTGTAGCTCTTTTAGGATTACACCTAGGTGCGCATCCTGGTTTAGCTCCAAGTCTGTGCCCATGAGTACGTCTTCCTCCATATTGCTGCTAGCATGTGGCAGTTGACCATCGTCTTCTTCGTCGAGGTCTTTACTTTGTGCGAGTCTCTTTTAGTCCTTTTTCAGGCATTTTGCTTGTCCGATGTATCTACGCTTACTCAAACTACTCTTTTTTTTTTCCTGAAAACCGAGTTATATCGGGCAACTTTGAATTATTTTGTCGGGAGCCCACCGCTCTATTCTGCCATCACGTGGTCCGTCAGACCAAAAGTCTGCCTCACATGAAAACCTTTTCTTATCTGTCAAAGCGGCGGATGCCTCGACGATTTCACCCACCACCACGTTACCCACGGTGGCGGGTGATACTTTCATTCCCTGTGTGACACTAAAGTTTCTGTAGTAAGGCCATTGTAACAAAACCAAAAACAAGTCAAGGTACAGCGTAATGTGCGAAGTTGATGCTTCGTCTGCAGACTGTTTTACTCTTGGGTGTCATGTGACCAGAGTGTAATTGCAGCCTTGGCGATTAGACATTCTCATTTTATCACATTGCAATAATATCGCAAATGCAATTAATTATTCAGCCCTAGTCAATGCCTATAAAATGCACAGTAGAAAATTTAAGTCGATCCGATTGATTCCCTAGGTGGAGTTTGTTAAAGTACGGACCTTGTAAAATGCCATGAATGGTCTGTAATTGTACATTCAAATCAAAATGGCCGACTTCCTGTCTGATTTCAGGTATGTTTCCAAGAGGCTTTTTTGTGGGTTTTGGGATGATACATGTACCACAAAAGTTATGTGCATCTTGGTGATTCAGTGTGCAGGTGCTGCATCTTTGAAGGAACACTTCCTGATTCCAGCAGGTGGCGCTATGAGGTTGAGTGAATTTCGACCTGTAGATGTGTTCAGAGTGTGACCTTTATCAAATGTGTGAAATGTGTTAAAGATATGAGCATGTACAGTGAAGTTACAACAAATTCCTGTGTCATGGCTAAGTATCGAACTTTGACACCACGCCAAGGAAACGCCGTTGTCCGAAAACACACTGGACTCACAACTTAGCATCATCAATGTCTTAAGGCTCTTCTGAGACTGTTTTGAAGCAGGTGAGGAAAACATGTTAGGAGTAGTACATAACAGCGTAAAACTTGACACTTCCTGTTGCCAGCAGGTGGCGCTAGAACATTGTGTGTTTGTTGGCATATGGATGTGTTCAGGGCGGGACTCTCATCTTAAATGTACAGTTTGGTGCATATCTGAGAATTTACACTGAAGTTATAAGAACTTCCTGTTTCATTGCAAATCATCAATTTTTGACGCCACACCACGGACACGTCCATTGACGAAAACTTACAGATAGCACAACTTTTCATCGTCAATGCCTTTAGAAGGCACAGCAGAAATTTGAAGTCGTTTAGACTTAATCCCTAGGAGGAGTTTTTTAAAGTATGGAGTGTTTAAATCATCCAAAAATGGACTTCCTGTTGAGTTTAGGGCATCGATCAAAGAGGCTTTTGGTACGTCTGGACATGATACATGTGCCACAGAGATTTCATACATGTAGGTGAAATGTACCACTGGGGCTGCTTCGTTAAAAGTCATTTCCTGTTGCCAGCAGGTGGCGCTATGACCATGCGTGAATGTTGGCATGTACATGTGTTCAGGGTGGGAGTCTTATTAAATGTGAAAAACTTTGTACAGATCTGAGCATGTACAGTAAAGTTACAACAACTTCCTGTGTCATGGCGACGCATGGCACTTCGTCGCCACGCCACTGCCAAGCCGTTAACCGAAAATTCAAGATTTACAACATGGCCTCATTAATGTGTTCAGGTTTTCCTGGGACAGTTTTGAAGCTCATATGTCCAACCTGCTCGGAGTAGAACATTATAGTGTAAAATGTGTCATTATCTGTTGCCAGCAGGTGGAGCAGTGACTTTGAGTGAATATTGGCATATGGATGTGTTCAGGGCGGGACTCTTATAATGTGTCCAAATCTGGTGCAGATGTGAGCATGTAGACTGAAGTTACAATAACTTCCAGTTTTATGGCCAATAATCCACGGGCACACTGTTCCACGAAAACTCACCGTTTGCACATTGGGTTCAGACTGCACAGCACAAATCTGAAGTCGGTCTGACTAAATCCCTAGGAGGAGTTTGTTAAAGTACAAAGTGTTTAAATAGCCAAAAATGAGATTTTCTTGTGTGTCTGGACATGATACACATACCACAGAAATTTCGTACACGTAGGTGAAACTTTGTCCAGGGGCTGCTCTGTAGGGGGCGCTTCCGAGCCATTTTGCCACGCCTATGTGCGAAAGCCATAAAATATGAAATTTTTCGCAGCGTCTGAATTATGTGCAAAGTTTGGTGAGTTTTCGGTATATGTAGGGGTTTCAATAGGGACCTCGCACAGTTAGTGCTTGGGCCCTAATAATCCCTTCAGTTTCAATAGGGACAATACACAATGCACAGGCCCTAAAAATACAGTCTATGGTTGCTACCACTAGGGGCGCTAACGTAGTGTAACTCAGGGGACGTGGCTTGAGTGAGGGGCTTGGTGTAGGTCAAAAGTTCATCAAACAAGAAAACGATAACAAAGTTATGGTGCAGCAGAAGCAGCAGGTTGGTAATCACAGCTCAGTGCAGCAACAGTTGAATGAAAGATGTTATTGGACAAAAAAGTTGTTACTTTTTACAGTACTTAAAGTACTGTAATTATTTGTCAATAAAAGATATTCATTGCAGCTGAATAATCTTATAATCTTTATCTTATTTTATTATATTGTGGTATTTTATTCTGTTTTATTCATTTTATAACATTTGTGGACATCCTCAACAAACAGTTGCATCAATCATGCTTGTTGAATTATTGTTTTCTATTTGTGCCTGCTTACTAAGACAACATGCAATGGGACTTTTATCTGTTTATACTACTTCCACTGGTATTGAAATATGAATACTAAGATCAGAGCTTAATTTTAAAAATGTTTCCAGGTTATGTATTAGTCCTCTTAGATCAGATTGCAGCTTCTTTAGGTGACTGACAGCTGTCACAGATACTAAGAGGAAGATGGCACTAATGATTTCTCCTTGTCAAAAAAGGTTTGTAAAATTTTAGTTAGCACATACATTTTCATAGAAATCTAATATATGAACACAAAATCATGGAGCAGAGGTAAGTGATAGTGAGTCATACAAATGAGTTAATAGCAGTCCTCAATGCATCATCTTCCATCAGGTCAGTTTATGGCAAAAACAGTCTCTTACTTTGCGTATGATGGTCCAGGTTCATTACTGAAGTTTGGAGAAAAGTCTTTGGACGAGTCACTCTTCATAGACAGACAGCTGGATACTGCAGACTCTGCTCTGTCCTCCTCTTCCTCCACACAAACACTCATCTTCTGGCCTTCAGTCAGTCTGACAGGTAAAACAGTAACACTGACTGTGAGCTCAAGAATAAAGAAGAACAAGTTTAATAAAACCAGTCAGCACTCCACCTACTCACTTTTCTTTAAATCTGTGCTTGTTTTCTTGGTTACTGCAGGTTTACTGTGTCAGCCACTCACAACTTGTGAAATAATAAAAATGTTGGATTAACACTCACCCTGCCTCACCCTTCAGTTTTCCTCCTTCTGCTCTGTTGACTCAAAATGGAGTCTGAACTGACTGAACACTTTCAGCGTGAGGTTCCCTTCCTGTTCTCACCTGGATCACCTGGTCAGCGTTACTCCTCCCCTCTTCAGGTGAGTTTATCTGTGTGTGTGCTCAGCTGTTTAACAGGATGTATGAGCGTCTCTCATTTGGAGCACTTAAAACACGGATAAACTGAAAAAGTAAACGCACATACAATGTTTCTTACTTTGTGGCAAATTATCATCACTTATGTGTCCAAATATCCTTTAAGTAACTCAACCTAACCTGCTGTTTATCAGAATACTTCACAGGTTTTAACAGGAATGTGTTTTCTCTGATTATGAGCGTATTTACATTATACTTGTCAAAGAAATATGTTTATATGGTCATGTGATTTACAGAAAATACTTTAAGCTAAAAATAAGGTTATAGATCAGAATAATGAAATGTGAAGATACTGAGAGAAATATCAGGATTTAGATGTCGGTTGTTTGATCAAAAATGTTTAAAAATCCACAGCAAATGTCAGAAAGCTGAGCTTCCAAACCACAAATCAAGAGTTTACAACACAATAATAATAATAATATGAAGGAGGCGTAAATAAATATTTTTTAGCCAAGAAATCACAAATAATCACGATAGGTTAGACCAACTGCAGACGTTTGTGCAGTGGTGAATATCTATTTTACAGTATATTGTATAACCTATATACTGTATGTGTGTATAAGCAACACAGCTGTGCTTAATAATTAATTATTCACTCTTTTGCAGATCAGTTTAATTTCAGTGAAGCATAAAGTCAACACACAGTGAGATATAATGATAAATTAAAGTGGCTGCATTAAGCCCTAAAGATTTGTCATTTGTATGTCAAAGACTAAACATCTTATACAGTTCTGAATGTTAAACATTTCCCTTCATTTCATTTCCACAACCAAACTGTCTGCCATTATCGTACATTCGTTTATTTTCCAGCTCACTGACACAAATGGCTTGATGAAGTTTATTGTTCTTTTTCAGCAGTTATCCATGCGCCACATCTACAATAATATATTCCACCAAGCTGCAGTGTCACAGAGTTAAGTAATATTGGGATAAACATGATGTCCTTCATTTTTACTTCATATACAAGGGCGCCCAGGAGATCCTCTTACATTGAGTTTCAGCAGAATCTGGAGGAATAATGAGCTGACAAGAGAGGGAAGCCGACAGGACAGTGAAAACATAAAAGAAAGCGCTGAAGATTG